AATTTGTAACGCATATGTATGAACTGTAGAAAATAGAACAGTTTTCTTCTCCAAATACAGTTGACGTTGAATTTCTTCTATAAACCATACAGGACAAAGAAAGAAAACAAGAGGCCAATGAGAATCAGTTTTAAAAAAAATTAAGATATAACCGTTTTTCCTGTGTTTGGCAAAAAAATACGCCTTCTGATTTTTGACACTTTGCTTTTCTGATTTTTAGATTTTTTTTTCTGATTTCTTAGCTTTTGAGTTGGCAACCCTGATCTCGTGTGTTCTGGTCCATCAGCAATATGTGGCATAGCAATGGAAAAAAAGATTAACCCAACAAAAACTCGCATTGTTTGAATAGATGAATGCTAACAGAATAAGGAAATTATAGATACGAGCAAACCTAAAGAAATCGTTATTGATACAGAAAAAAGTGGCAATAAAATGCACATTGATTCCTAGTAATTTTTTATTGTGCACCAGTTCCAGTCATTTCTCATCGCTATATGGTCTGAGGACATGAAGTAATGAGAGAAGAGCGGGACGAGCCAAAAATAACTATGATCCGCATTTTTCTAGGATTTTTTTCTGCTTCATATTATCAGCTTATATCAAGAGCTTTCAAAATATATATTCGGAGTCCTGATCAGAGAGCATTACTAAAATAACAGTGTTTACCATGGCAATAGACTTTGAATTTTAAAAGTTATTGTTGTACTCTTGTAATATACAAGTTTCTGATACGATTTCGGCTCTCTTAAATATTCTTAGGCTAAAAAAACGTGCTCATTGGTCTACAGGCTATAAAAATTCCTTCCTTTACTTATGTAAGACTAGATTTGTTAAAAATCCTGATATTTTAGTAACAACTTCTAGCCAGAGAACTCAGAATATATTTTTCGAAAGCTCGTAATATCAGCTAAAATATGAACTAAGAAAAAATTCTAGAAATATGAAGGTCGTGTACATTTTAGTTCAAATGCATAGATGGATTATCTTATCTTAACTTATCTCCTTTTGATTGCCTAAGTCACCGTAGTGTGACCACATACCATATGTTCACCTACACTTTTTACTTATCAGTGACAGCGTCGGAAACTTTTTTAATAGTCTTACCAATGCCTATTCAAGCAAACAAAAAATATTTCATTCTATACTAGAGCTGTGCATTAGGCTACGCTCACACTACAAAGTTTTCAGAGTTAACTCTAAGTTAACTTCGAGAGCGTTCACATCTAAATCTTTAATACACCAATAAGATTTTGATATTTCTCCTAAAATTGTGCTGCTTGCTGACTCCAGTATTCTAAGAGGTTGCGACTTGCTAACAGCCGACCGACTTGAATCTACGTTCTACAGTTGCCTTTCCAAGCGCACATAGAAAAATTGAGTAGAGAGTCAGACTTTTGTTTCTCCCACAGAACTGGCGCTACTGCCCTGGTCTAATGGAACAATATTATTGGTTACTGAGCTTATTTATGACTGGAGAGTTAAAGTTAAATGTTGTCCGAAACATCATTTAACTCAGAGTTAAACAAAATTAAAACAAACAGGATATAGCATATATGTAGCAATACCTTTTTTTCTTCTTTTCTGCTTCTCTTAGCATATATTTTTATTACACCACACTAAATAAAGACAAAAGAATGAAATTTTCATACGCAAAATTTGTCTAAAAAACGCGAAAATTCTATGGATAAAGTGATGGACTTTTGTCCTTGGACATGGACAAAAAAGTGTTCATGCAGACCTCTATGCTACACTGCTGCATCTGTGTATTGATATAGACAAATAGAGTATTCCATGTGAGGCAGTCGTATAGCCGTCTCTATGACAACATATCTTTATCGAAATTGTTTTGCATCTCTATCCATTGATTAATATAAGAGCATTTAACTGCACCTCCGATCAAACATTTCTGTAGCTTCTCTACTAAATTCAGAATTTCTATCTGTAAATGTTATTGAATCTTTCAGATAAGATTAAGAGATAACGAAATCATCCGGTCAAAGTTCAGCTATTTTTGACCGTCTGTGATTGTTGACCAAGTAGAAGGTCAGTTGACTCGTCCCTTTCTTTTATCTCGAAGGTCACCTTTGCTATTATACTTAATTTACGATTGTTCTTCTCACGTTTTTACCTTCTCTCTATATACAACAATTACATTTTTCTCATCATCGTTTTTACTCTGTATACTGATGTGAAGAATTGAAAATAAAAGGCATTGTAAAGACACATAGTCTATGGCCTACATTTTACAAAAGCATTAAAACAAAATAAACGTACTAGTAATAAAAGAGAAAATATATCGAAATAATTCAGTAATTTTATTATTAAATTGTTTTAGTATAAGTATAAACGGTGAACAAACATGTTTGCAACACGAAATACAACATATCGAATTTTGTCTGTACCATATCGATCAATTTTAGAGCAAAAAACTCACAAAAATGGTAATTAAATTCATTTTTTTAGACTTTCTTTTTGATGAAATGCAAGTGATTCAACTGAAACCATATTCACTGAATATAATATCTCTTTCACATCCTTGCTCGAAGCATAAATGTAACTTATCGATTGGAAGTGCACAGAAACGACTTTTCTTTCCTTTTGTCCTGTTATTATTCTAATATTGTTACTTAATTTTCGATTTAATTATATTCCATCATTCTTTTCGACAATTTCAAAGGGTCTTTGTTTAATTAGAAAAATTCTTTATTCTAAATGAACAGAGAAAACTCATTATGGAAGCGTACTTCTACAATGGAGTACCTTCACAAAACATAAAAATGTGTTACCCTACACATCACTACAAGATACCTATGTTCACAAAATGAACTCAAACTACTTCATAATGGTTAAAATATTTTAGAGCCTGTCCACAATTCAACATTATCTGTTCCATCTTATTCAACTCCAATAAACTTCTTTTCATCGACAAATTCAAATATCAAACCTCATGTCTTGTTATCTTCAACAATCAATACGAATAGCTTACGTTTTTTATCAAATTCTTCTAACGTAAAATCGACCTTGTCACCCACATCTTTACCATCCAGAATTTCATCGCTTGACGAATATCATGAATTATATCGTTTATCTGTTGATAATCCAGAGTTATTTTGGAAATTGGCTGCTCAACGTCTTGAATGGTATCGGTTTCCAACAAAAATTAAGAATACCTCATTCGATTATCAATCGTCTAAAGGTGTCTCAATTAAATGGTATGAAGATGGTATTCTGAATGTTTGCTATAATTGTCTCGATGTACGTTGTTCATTTGTTAAGTAATCATTTGTTTGATCTTAAAGTATCTGAAATGACGCATGCATTAGCTTTTTTCATATTTACTAGAATGGAAGAAAACAGTTTATTGTTGATGAAGCTTATAATTATATTCTCGCACGAAGGAAAGAGATCCCCATTCCTATCCATTAGCAAAACATCTTATTAAATTCACCTATAAAGAATAAAATGCATGAATTTGTCCCTAAACATTTTTTCTCCACTTCCACTTCTGCATGCATTATAATCATTGTTAATTTTGATTTTTAACTATTTTAGCGACATATTGAACAAGATCCATCGTTTTCAAAACAAAAAGCATTTATTTTTGAGCAGGATCAATACGATGAACATGTTAAACATCACTTAACCTACGGTGAATTACTTGAACAAGTGAAAAAATTTGCCAATGTACTGAAAAAACATGGAGTAAAAAAAGGTGATCGTGTCACTATTTATCTACCAATGATGTTAGAAACATGTGTTGTATTACTGGCATGTGCACGAATCGGTGCAGTACATTCTGTAGTATTCGGGGGATTTAGTGCAAATAATTTAGCAGAAAGAATTAAGGATTGTCAATCATCAATTGTTATCACAAGTGTAAGTGGCAAAGAAAAGTAGTAAAGCAAATATTTACTGTCTTTGAAAAATTACCATTTTGATTTGATTTCATTTTAATTTAGGATTTTAGTTATCGAGGTGGGAAATGTACACCGTTGAAAGCTAAAGTTGATCAAGCAATAAAACGTACACAAGTTAAAAAGGTTATTGTTATTAATCGAGGACATGATGAAGAAAACGTTGATGTTCCAGAAGTTGAATGGACAGATGGGCGTGACTATTGGTATCATGAAGAGATGGCAAATGTGTCAGACAATTGTCCACCAGAACAAATGAATGCTGAAGATCCATTATTCATTGTAAATAAATAAATTTGAATATTTTAATGTCAACACTTAATAATATACATTCTGACACTTTTATAGCTTTACACCTCCGGTTCGACTGGCAAACCAAAAGGCATCGTGCACACTAACGGTGGTTATCTAGTGTATGTATCGTCGACATTTCAATATGTTTTTGATTATCGGCCGGGAGAAGTTTATATGTGTACGGCAGATATTGGTTGGGTATGTTAAATATTTCATTTTCAGAAATTAAATATTGCAGGATGGTGAATTTCTACTAAATATTACTTTATTTTTTTAGATAACTGGTCATTCTTACATAATCTATGGCCCATTAGCAAATAAGGCGACGAGTTTAGTGTATGAAGGTGTACCAACGTATCCAGATGTTTCAAGATTTTGGAATATTGTTGATAAACATAAAGTGAATATTTTCTACACAGCACCAACAGCTATTCGGTCATTGATGGCACATAGCGAAGATTTTGTATCAAAGACAAGTAGAAAGAGTTTAAGACTATTGGGAACTGTAGGTGAACCAATCAATCCCGAAGTATGGAGATGGTATCATCGAGTAGTTGGTTAGTATATGCAATAGGCGATTTATTGCGTTTTTTCGGTTACGAATTTCTACACTTATTTCTTTTTCAGGCGATGGTAAATGTGATATAATTGATACATGGTGGCAAACGGAAACTGGTATGTGATAGAAATATGTTTTTTTTTGAATGAATATTAATTTCTGTTTTTAATTTGTGTGTTTATAGGTGGATTCATGATTGCGCCTATAGCTCATGTCACAGAAATGGAGCCTGGCTCAGCAACACTTCCATTTTTTGGCATACAAACACAAATTATTGATAAAGAATCCCGTGATCTATTACAACCACCATGTAAAGGTGAACTTTGCATTAAAGATTCATGGCCTGGACAAGCGCGTACAATTTACAATGATCATGAACGTTTTGTTGACGTTTATTTTAAAAGTTATCCAGGTAATAAGTTTAATGTTTTAAGCTATTCACATCTCTACTTAATACGTTTTTATTGATCGTTGGTTAGGTTTTTATTTTACTGGCGACGGTTGTGAAATAAAATCGAATGGTTATCATTGGATTACAGGTCGTGTCGATGATGTAATAATTATTTCTGGTCATAATATAGGTACAGCTGAAGTTGAATCAGCACTAGTACTTCATCCGTCCGTATCAGAGGCATCTGTCGTCGGTTATCCAGATCCAAAGAAAAATCAAGGAATGTATTGTTATGTAACATTGAAGGGCAATAAAAAAGAGTCAGATGGATTGAGAAAAGAACTTATTAATTTAGTACGAGATCAAGTGGGAGCACATGCTAAACCAGACGTCATACATTTTACATCAGATTTACCAAAAACAAGAAGTGGTAAAATAATGAGAAGAATATTGAGAAAAATAGCAGAAGGAGATACCGAAAATTTGGGTGATATTTCCACACTTAATGATCCTTCCGTTGTTGACGAACTTATCAAAACATCTCCGCGAACGAAAAAAGCGTAACTTTTTTTTTGTATATTCCTTTTTGCAATTCCATTCACTACTATTTCTATTTATTTGGTTTTTTATGATTATATATAGTTGTTCATACACATTATATGATATTCGTTGTCCACTAAAGGAGAAAAATATCACAGAATAGACAAAAATATGTATTAGATTTGATGCAAAATAAGTGTTTGTTGCTTTTAATTGAAACGTGGTTTGTTGATATATTTTGGCGCAAATGGTCCGTAGAAATCTTGTTAGCGATACTTGTTTTGAGCTATTTCATTTATTTTAGAAGAACGAGATGAATGTGTAGAGTGAGAAAGATCTGATTCAATAGTTAGAATCGAAACTTTTGTTCGGAGTATACTAATTTGTTCATACAATTTTATAGTCGCCACAAAACGACAAACTTTTAGATGAAAATAAATGTATTATACAAATACTCTCCAGACTGTTCCATCGTTCGACTCTTTTACTCTTGATCCTCCATTGTTGATAGTAGAAATCTCGAAGAAAGAGGGTTTACATCTTTAATACTAATAGATAACATATCTATAGCTATATTTTTCATATCTATTTCAATTATTCGAGCATCTTTTTGTTTCTCTATGGTGAGATAAAGAATTGTCACGTGCCACTCTAGTGGACCGACTAACCTTATTCGACTCAAAGCGCATGCAGTGACTACAGTAAAACCTCCCACTGTGATACACATTATAGTGACTACTCCATTATCTGACGGTGCGTTTTTTACTAGAATGGAGTCACCTATACAATCTGCCCAGTGACCGCTTTTTTCAACCTCAAACGCAAGAAAACGTCTTTAGAATGGCTAGTTGTTCATGATGGATCATTTAGTAAAAAGAATTGTTCAATTAGAAAACATCGAATGAGAAGGATAAGAGGGTGTACTCACTCATGCGAATGTGAAGATGGTGTAACGACTTTCTCGATTTGCATCCGATACTCAATCGCACGTCTGCAATGATTATTAAATTTGAGTGAAAATTAATAGACCTATATCTTTTACTCAAAGCGTAAAGTGAATAGATAAGTATTTCATGATGAAATAAGCTTATTTTTTGCACCTGTCACCAAGCAAAATAAAATCGTAACTTAATCGGAGTGAACGAGCTAAAGGATAGAGTACACGTGATGAATACAGTTAAAAAACTGACTTCCGTACTGTGCCACTTTTGAAAAGTCATTAGAGAGGATTCTTTGTAAATAGATGGTCATGTGCTAGTTTATTAACGATTAACATCCCCCCAGTCTATGTCTCAGAAACTTCTGCAACTTAAACTGTACACTGCAGCAAATACAGTACTGGCCAAAATTATAGGTTCACTTTTATTTTGAATTTTTTGCCTCAACCATAATGGCTAGAACAAATGTGAAAAAAGAATTGAACAACTGAAAGAGTTTGTAATCAGGTGAGGTGCATATGAAAATTTCATTAAAATTTCTACAAACCAGGTCTGTGGAACACTAAGAGTTTAAAAAATCCCAAAAAGTCAAGTCCTGCGATTCCAACGAAAATAGCCTTTTATAAGTAGCCCATTCGTGTAGACAAACATTTCTGAACAAAATCAGACGTCGCCGAAGTCTGCACGACGTTTTTACATCGAGCTACATTCAATTGACGAAAGGCCCCTACACGTCACAATCAGCAAAATCGCTAGAAAAAGAGCAAAAATAATAGTAAAAATGACC